AAGTGATGGCCAGAAGCTAAAGCAAACACATGGACACAGTATCCCTCATCTAGTTGGAAACAAATGGGTTTTAAACTCAGAGTAATTAGGAGGAAAGGTGGTCATTCTAATGACAAAAGCCAGAACCAGCTTCTCAGACCCTGGTTCTGTATAAAGTGCTCTGTGTGGACACCCTTCAATCTGGATGGAAACAAGGTAGGTCAAGCCTATTTCTTTTTAGGTTTCCTTCACAAAAGAACCAGAGCATCTGAGCTTCAATATGGTACTTAGTGCAGAGAAGCAGTTTGAACAGTAGAAGAAGAGTAATGTGGGTCAGGAGCCCATCTCTCTGTCATCTGCCAAAAGTGACCTGGACCTGAATCATTCCAATATGAAAAGAAATTCCTAAGCTCGGTTGATTGAATCAATTCATTTAAAACATCTCTACAGACAAGGGATATATCTTCTAATTCCAGTAGAAAATGGAAGGTCTAGATAACCCATGATCTCTTGGGGCTCCTATACTGTCTTGTGGAAACTGAGAGTCCTTAAGAGTTATATTTCTATGCTGAAGCTTTCCAGAAAGTTCAGATGCCTGGAATGTGTAAGCTTTTCGAATGCTGTCAAACACTAATCCCAGTCTTATCTGTCTTACAGATTCCATTGTGATTGGATTTTGGGTTGGTCTTGCAGTCTTTGTGATTTTCATGTTTTTTGTGCTGACTTTACTGACAAAGACGGGTGCCCCACACCAAGAGTAAGTCTAGACTGTTCCTGAATGCCTGATATACTTTACTGCATATCGGAAACAGGCACTGAAGAAATGGGGATCAGTGCCAGGGCTGGGGTTGCTCCAGAGGATGGGGAAGCAGGCAGGGTGTGGATGGGTGGCTGCTGTGATCCCAGTGCTGGGGGGGGATTGCACGCTCCTCCTTGGTTTCTGCTTCTTGTTGCCCTTGTGAAATCAGGCTCCTTGGCCCTTTTCTGCCATTTCATGCGGATCTGAACTAGATTTTCATATTGAAATTGGGGTGTATTTTCCTCTTATTCCATAAAGGATTTATATGGAAGAAATTATAAGCAAATGCTAACATGTTTACAGAGGTCAGCCTGCCCTCCAGTGCTGGCAGCAGCACTCCTTAACGCCTGGGTCTCCCTGGGTCTCTCTTGCCTGTTGTTTGTTTTTAGTTCTATACATCAACTATAACAAATAACCCAGTTCAGCCCACCACTCACTTTTCTCAACACTTCAGGGACTAGAAGAAATCCTTTAAACACAAGCATTCTACATAACAGTAACTAAAGCATAAGGACACTTATGGCTGAGAATGATTTTCACAGCCATCAAAAATATTCTGTCCCTTGCTCTCTCTTCTCAAAAACCACCATGCACACCTTTGCTTTTCGTGTGTTGTCCTCGAAAATGTTTTGTTGTTTTTGTTTTTGGAGACAAGGTCTCTCTGTAGCCCCAGCTAGCCTGGAACTTGACAAGGCTGGCCTCCAACACTCAGAGATCTTCCCGCCTCTGCCTCCTGGATGCTGGGATTAAAGGACTATGCCACACCCCTGGCCCAGGAAATCTGAACATATAGTGTGGTTTGTAACAGTGAGAAAAACTAAGGGGGAAAAACACTTCAGATTAAGGCACAATTTACAGACTGATCCTGGAATAGAAACACCTAATTATCATCCCTTTTCTTAGGCATGCAGATGGGCATTTGTAGGGTTATTGAGACAGAGCTTATGTGACCCAGGAGGCAGACGACTTTTATAGCTGGGAAGATCCTAGCACAAAATACAATGTGATGTCCTGTGATAGTTAATTTTATATGTCAGCTTAGCTAGGCCATGATATCTAGCTATTTGGTCAAACACTATTCAAGTTATTTTATGCAGGTACTTTTTAGATGAGCTTAGCATTTAAATTTGCTTACTTTGAGCAATGCAGATCACCTTTCCTAAGGTGAGCCAGCCTCATCCACTTAGCTGAACACCTTTATAGAGTAAGACCGATACCCCAGACAGGAATTCTTCCAGCAGGCTGAACCTCAGCTCCTCTTGCATCTCTAGCCTGCCAGGCTTACTCTGCAGAGTTTGGATGAGCCAGTTTCTTAATGCAAATCTCTCTTTACACACACACACACACACACACACACACACACACACACACACACAGAGTTCTGTTTTTTCTCTGAGGAACCTGGTCTAGTCCATTTCCTTAAGGAATCATTCTGAATTGATGCTCAGTCACTGAGCAGGTACACTGTAATCCTACAGGCTTCTAACAAGGTGAAGGAGAAATTTTTACTCTCAGTAAAATAAGGGACCAGCCCTCAGGGCCACACTTTAAATTCTTCTTCACATACTCTGAGACAGTGTTAAGGTATGGCATTGGGAAGGATAATTAGGCTAAAGCTGCGTTTTCAGACAGTGATGATTCCTGGGATATACATCAGAGGCCGAGTCTCCTTCAGTGATGTGGCCGTGCACACCTTTGCTTTTCGTGTGTTGTCCTCGAAAATCTGTTTTGTTGTTTTTGTTTTTGGAGACAAGGTCTCTCTGTAGCCCCAGCTAGCCTGGAACTTGACAAGGCTGGCCTCCAACACTCAGAGATCTTCCTGCCTCTGCCTCCTGGATGCTGGGATTAAAGGACTATGCCACCACACCTGGCTCAGGAAATCTGAACATATCGTGAGGTTTGTAACAGTGAGAAAAGCTAAGGGGGAAAAACACCAGATTAAGGCACAATTTACAGACCGATCCTGGAATAGAAACACCTAATTATCATCCCTTTTCTTAGGCATGCAGATGGGCATTTGTAGGGTTATTGAGACAGAGCTTATGTGACCCAGGAGGCAGACGACTTTTATAGCTGGGAAGATCCTAGCACAAAATACAATGTGATGTCCTGTGATAGTTAATTTTATATGTCAGCTTAGCTAGGCCATGATATCTAGCTATTTGGTCAAACACTATTCAAGTTATTTTATGCAGGTACTTTTTAGATGAGCTTAGCATTTAAATTTGCTTACTTTGAGCAATGCAGATCACCTTTCCTAAGGTGAGCCAGCCTCATCCACTTAGCTGAACACCTTTATAGAGTAAGACCGATACCCCAGACAGGAATTCTTCCAGCAGGCTGAACCTCAGCTCCTCTTGCATCTCTAGCCTGCCAGGCTTACTCTGCAGAGTTTGGATGAGCCAGTTTCTTAATGCAAATCTCTCTTTACACACACACACACACACACACACACACACACACACACACAGAGCTCTGTTTTTTCTCTGAGGAACCTGGTCTAGTCCATTTCCTTAAGGAATCATTCTGAATTGATGCTCAGTCACTGAGCAGGTACACTGTAATCCTACAGGCTTCTAACAAGGTGAAGGAGAAATTTTTACTCTCAGCAAAATAAGGGACCAGCCCTCAGGGCCACACTTTAAATTCTTCTTCACATACTCTGAGACAGTGTTAAGGTATGGCATTGGGAAGGATAATTAGGCTAAAGCTGCGTTTTGAGAAAGTGATGATTCCTGGGATATACATCAGAGGCCGAGTCTCCCTCAGTGATGTGGCCACCAGAGTTGGCAAGGGGCAGACAGAAGCTTGTCTTCTTAGAGCTGTACAGTTCCCACCCCTCAGCCCCTGGAGTTGTGACAGGAGAACAGGTGAGGATTTCACTCTTTCTGTCCTTCAGCCAGGAAGCAGTGCACAACTCTTCTTCCCACATCTGAGGAAGTATAATTACCTACATGTCTAGAAGAAGAGAACCAAGTATCTGTGAGCATGAGGAAAGGAGCATTTGAGGAAGAGAATCTGCTATAAAGCTAACATAATCTTTGGAGAAAGCTTGTAGTCTAAGAAGCATCTTTGATGGGGATCATTCCCATGGAGTATTTTCTGTGGTGTGTAGGGGGAAGCTCTTATCTGGATGCTGTATGGGCAGTGAAAGAGCTGTTTGGTTCTACTCAGCTGAGATGCCATTTGCACTGAGTGCTGTCTTGCTGGAGCATTACAGCCCATTAGCACACATCTGCCAGAGAGCAAGAGAGGGGGATGTCTTGGGTTCATTTTTATATTGAATATTTTGGACTTTGTAAAAGATTATCAAGTCTCAGCCATAGATCGCAAATAGACTCCTTTTGTGGCCTTTGCTGGTGGTAGTGGTTTTCATTTGTGGTGAGCACAGGATTGCTCATGACCTTGTAAAAGTGGGAATGGCATTTTGCCTCAAATTGTAATTTAGCTGAATTTAGCACTCACTAAAGGATGGGAGTGTGTGACCAGCGCTAACAGCAGGAAAATGTCAGTGCTTGGAAATCACTGGCACTGAAGACAGACCAGAACTAGCTGGCAGAGTGCAGATGTGGTGAGTGATTGCTAAGGAAGGCAAGGGATCCCAAGGAGCTGACCTCTGAAACCAGGCAGAGAAGTTGTTTTAAGTATGGGATTTGATCGATAAATCTTTGTTCGTGTTGAGGAGTTATCTTTAGTTTCTCAGCTATTAGGAGGCAGGGCTGAGTGCACAGCTATGGCTTACCCGGGACTGTGCTGAGAGGAGTTTAAAGGTAGTAGAATTTTTCATGCCCATGCCACCTGACAGCTCCCTGCTAATCACCAAAAGGTGATACATAGAAGGCTCTTGCAGGAGGCTGTGCTCAATACCTCTGTTAGGCAGATTACATGGTGCATAAAGCCCTCAGCACAGGCTGTGATTCCAGGGGTGGTGACGATTTCCTCACAGAAGTAGGAGGACTTTCCTTCCTTAGCTTGTCCACCTTTAAAAGCCCGGTGGAAGTGACTGCTAGAAGTGGCAAGTGTCCCCATCCACTGAGTGGATGCTCATGGTCTTTGGCAGCCAAAGGCTCAGCCCAGCTGCAAGCACTTCATTTGTAAACACGCTTAGGAATCTGGAAATTCGTTTGGGGATAACTTGGAGCATAACTTGTGTGGTCCTTTGCTGGTAGACGTGGGAAGGGGTCTGTCTTCCTGACTTTTATTAGTCTTTCTGTCACAAAAATACAAGTCCCGGAGTGATTGTACATCTCATAACAGTCAGGTTTAGACAAGCCTGTAGATACAGTGCTCTGTATTTCATAGAGCATTAATCGAGGCCCAAGTCCTGCAAAGCTGTTTGAGGGACACTAAGGTGTGCCAACATGAACATCTGACTATAGGAATGAAAGCTCTGACAGAAAGCCGAAAAGGATGACCTGTGAGAGGAATCAGGAAAAGATGGTGGACAGATGCTTGCCTTCCTGTTCCCAGATCAAAGTCTCTCCATGGAAGCCATGACTGGATCAAGGGAGGGGCCTCTTGGGTAGAAGGACATTACAAGTAGAAGCATAGGGAGGAACAATGAGGTTTTTTTGTGGCTGGACTGTAGGGTGAGTGAGGCGATTGCTGGGTGCTGGATGACAGTATTTCTGGGTGAACTAAGGCAGACTAAAGTAAGTTTACCACCAAAGTACAGCTTGGTGAACCAATGAGTTTTATTTGGTTTTGTTGATGCAAAAAGCATAACTCTCACTTCAAAGGGGATGAGAGATAGTTTATTCTGGAGCCAAATATGAGTGGCCATGGCCTGGGAACAGAGATTCAGGTTACCCCAAAATTCCATGTTCCGACATAATAAGTTTCATAAATTTTTTGTAACAGAACAAAGAAAGACATAAATCCAGACACTTTCCAAACACATTGGTGGAGACATCAGAGAGGTGGGTTATAGTAAAGCAGGGTGAACTCTGTCATGGGCC